GGCCCGGGGCCGGGGCCGCTTCCACGGTGTCTCAGCTCCAACATCTCCCGCGTCGCCGTGGCGGCCTCGTCTAAAGCCCCGAAACCTGAGCTGCGCGCGGGGTCCGGCCGGCTGCCCGCCCGGTCCCCTTGGAAGTCCAGCGGAGCCGCGGGCACTAACACCCCGTCAGCATGGAGCCCCGCCGCGCCGGGTCACCCCCAAAACGGCATCAACGAGCGAGCGCTCGAGGCCGCCTCCGGGTGCGGGGTCGGCTCGGGGCGCCTCTGCCGGAGCGAAGCAGCCGGGGACGCGGCGCGGCCGCCGGTTGCCAGGTGCGCGTCTCCACGCAGAGGCCCAGGTGGGAGGGCGCGGAGGGGCGGGAGGGGGGCGGAGGGGAGGGCAGGAGACGACGAAGCCCGACCCGCGGCTGCGCTCCGCCGGGGCACACGCCACGGGGGCCTGGCCACTCCCCGCCCCGCCTCCGGGGGCCCGACGCCGAGTCCGCAGGTTGCCGGCCCCTCACCTCCCTCCCGGCTCCGGCCTCCCGCAGCCGGGTCACGCGCCGCAGACCCCGCCCCGCCCCGCCCCTCTGCGCTGCACTGCGGTTCCCACAGCCCCGCCTCCCTCGCGGAGGGTGACGTCACCGGCCCGAGGCCCCGCCCCCGACACCCGCGCACAGGTGGGGGCTTTGAAAGCAGGTGCGGGCTGGAGGGGAAGGGCGCGGGGAAAGGGGGGGGGGAGGATGCGTGCACGTGCGTGAGAACTTGGGGACTGGGCACCGACTGATTGACAGCGCCCCGCGCTCCTGATGACTCCGGGGTGGCTCAGCCTGACACGCCGCGGCGTGGCCGAGGCTCCTGGGCGTCTCCAAGCGCAAACTTGTCTGGCAGGACCGACTCGTCGACCCCGCGCCATTCCAGGCCCGCGTCACCACCTTGGAAATCGGAGGAGCGTCTGCCTCCCTGGGCGTCCTTCTGAGGATGGGTTGGGTGACCATGTCGCCACGTCCTGAGTTTGTCTCCCAGAAACTCGGTTAGAAACAGGTGCGGTCTCCGAACAGTAATGGACCTTGGGCTGCTAAAGCTGGCTCGGGAAGGACACAAGATCCGCACTAATTCCAGTCCAAATCCTGTTAGCAGGTGATTAGTTTTCTTAACACGTTACTGCCACCTGGTCTGAACAGACAAAACAGAACAAAACACACCGGACAGGCCTTCACACCAACAGTACAACCTTCACAACACCTGTATAAAAAGAAATCAATATAAATTTCACAAGGTCATTACTGACACAGGGAAAATACCTTAGTAACAAATGAGCGGAAACAGAAGTCAAAGGGTGTGTGGAAAGGCAGAAAACAAACACATCCATTTACTTCACCAAACATATATCCTCCTTCAATATATATTTTCTATTGTGAAGATACTGTACAGAGAGGTTACAGTAACACCAGGAAGGTAATGAGTACATTTCCTATTGATCATCGACCAAACACATCTTTGAAGCAGTGGGCTC